AGGTACTTAACCTTAGTGTTAAGGTTAGTAATCTTAGCTACTAGGTTAGTAACCGTGGTTACTAGATTAGTATCTATAGCTGTTAGGTTAGTGGCCACTACTATTATGTTAGTGTTCTTACTACTAGTAGTGGACATCGTGAAGGTTAACTACTTATAATCTTAAAGGTAACTTACTAAATAGGACTAATTAAAATATAATAGTGGCTTAACCTTAATCTACAGTTAGTCTGTTTCTTAGGTAGAGAGTCGGTTTAAGTGTATAAGTGTATATAAGTAGTTATTATAAGTTACATTAGGAGATGTCTCCTAATAGTAGAGCTATTACTTAGATTAATTAGTAGAGATCTAGCTGTCTATCTAGGAAATCCCCTTCCTTATATATCCATCTATCCTCTACTATACTCTTAGATTATACTAATCCTATCTAATCCTCACTTAGGCTGGATTAGACTAAGCCCGTCCGACGAGTCCACTTAGATTAGTTTAATCCCTCCTAATCTAATCACGTGATCTCGTGTCCTTATACCTTCGTACCCTAGGGAGCCTCACAGCTCCCTTAGGTGTCACAGGCTTCCCTACGGCTGTATAACGGGCCGCTCCTTCCGTCTTCCTATTCGTTTGTCACATTTAGCTACTGTAGATAGGACACTAAACACTTAAGGAATATATTCATTTATTGTTTTATTACACTTAGTGGCTTCTTATTAATAGGGCTTACTAGTTATATTTAAGTAACTATTTAACTATTCGCTTTATCTATTCTACTAATTCCTATTATTCTCTAATCGCTTCTACTTTATCTTTCTATTATAGTAGCTCCTATTCTATATTATTTACTACTAATAACTAACTATCTTAAGGGCTATTCTCTAAGTGTTTAGAGTCCTATCTATAGTAACTAAAATGTTACTAGTTATATTATTATAATAATAAAATAAATACTTATAGTAATTATAAATTTAAAAAACGATATTCTAATATATTAAAGTATATAATTACTTATAATATTTATAGTACTTATATTAATAGGATTACTAATTAAAATTATAGTAGTATAAATAATTATTATTATAAATATAATTACTATAAAAACAATATAATTTAAGTTTAAAAACTTTAAGAGTCTAATATAGGATCTACTAATTATAGTAAAAACTATTATACTCTTAAAAAAGTAAGTATTAAAAGTAGTTATAATTATATTAAGCTTATACTAGTAATTAGTTTAAGTTTAGTAGTTAGTCTAGAATATTATTAGTAAAGTATAATAGTAATAATAAAAGCACTTATATTAAAAGTTTAAATTTTATTATAAATTCTAAATATAATTAAATTAAAAGAGAATACTATTAATATAAACTCTTAATTAATACTATAGTAGTTATTATTACTTTTAAAGATAATAGTATTTTAAGTAGTAACTAGGGTTAATATAGTAAATTTAGTATCCTAAATAGTAATTAAAGTAAAAATAATAAAAACTTTATTAATATTAGTATAGAGTAGATTAGTCTTAATATAGACTATAATATTATAGAGTTAAATAAGTAGTAATACTATAATAAGAGTAAGGTTTACTTTTTTTTAAATTTAACTTATTTATTTTATTTACTATAGTATCTTTTATTATATTTTAATTAATAATAAAAGAAATAGTATAATAAATAAATTAATATAAAAGTAGATTTATAGTAAAAAAGTATTAATATCTATTATAAGGCTTTTTTGATATAGACTACTAAATATAATTACTATTAATAGTTATTTTATATTATAAAGTAAAATATATTTTTATTAATATTAAGTAGTTAAGTAAAAAAACTAGACTTTTTTAATAAAGTCTTATTATTTATTATTAAAGTTATATTATAATAGGATACTACTTTAAGTATAATATAAGCCTTTATAGTCTTTTAGTCTAACTTTATTATTCCCTTTAAAAGAAAAAAGTAATAATAGTATAATAATAGTATTTATTATAATATAAATTATTTAAAGTTAAAAAGAATCTAAAGAGTAAATAAATAATAATAAATAATAATTAAAATAGAATAAAAATAAAAATATAATAAAGTTATATACTAAAGAATAATAAAAAAAAGAAAAGATTTAAAGAAGTAAGAATATTAAAAGAAAAGAAAATAATATTAAGTATTAAAAAAAGGGGGGACTAATACTTTACTTATAGTTTATTTTTATAATCTTTTAATAAAAAACTATTTATAAAGTAATAATCTCTTTAGGATTAAAAATAGACTATTAAGTATATATTAATATAATACTTATATTAGAAAGAATAAATAATAAACTATTATTAACTTAAAAGAATATT